CCTGGAAATTTACAAAATATCACAATAATGTTGGCCGATGACACATCAATCGGTGTTGCGGGAAAATATGTAAAATCCATAGAAGCAACTCTCAACTATGATTTAGCCCAATTGAATAAATGGGCAGAAAAGTGGTGTGGTGTGTTCTAACGGTTATATCTAGCATTCTTTAAGACATAGAGGGGGTGGTGGTGGTTCTAACGGTTATATCTCTAATACATGTAGAGGCGGGAGGCCTAACGGGTATGAACAACAATAAAAACTTTCATGCATTTATAACCCACATTTTCGAACCCTTTTATCGGTCTCTAAAGGGAACTGGCAATAGATTTTTAATGAGCTTCGTCCTTCAAGCCTGAAACCTTTTAATATGGTTGATTAATCTTTGTCATTTATCAAAAAAGTAGTGAGGTTGTGCTCTATTATTATAGATTTCTAAAATATATGGACACTATTGGGACGTTGGTAACTGTCATCAGACATTATTTGACGACATTTCTCATGGTTTGAATATAGCCGACTTTATAGAAGATAAATATCAGTTTACAACACAACTGCCTAAATCTTGGTATTTTCGGAACCAGAGAAGGGATATGCCGATATTTAGGTCGTTAACCTAGCATATTATGGTCACGAATATAATTTTCTATTTATTACCGAAGTCTTTAATTAGGGAATTACGCGATAATCTACTTTCCATCAAAGGCAGGCTCCCCGCCATCGTTGTATTTAGAAGGCGGCTTCTTAGAAGCAACGTGACGTCATAACATTGTTCATGATGTCATGTCACCATGATAAAGTGATATTTAACCCGGTGGATATCGCATGAAAACAAATTATCCCCGATATGATTGCCCTCGTAGGTTATAAGCATTGTTATGATCATTCGTTGAGGTTAATGCCACCCGTTGAATTCTTTGTTGTATTTTGAGCGGTGAAACTAAATAAATGATTTCTTTGGTCTACCCATAACAATTAAGGTGTCAACTTCCACTGTATACCTTACAGAAAGAAGTTTTGACTTTACTTTGATAACGAGCACATCTGATCGATTCCTTGAAGCAAATGATGCAATTCAATATCATTTCTACATTTTATTTTAAATGCATCAATCAAATACAACAAATGAGTAGACAGATTGACTGCTATGTGGCAAGGAATAACCAGGCGCCAGCAATTTATGATATTCTAGGCAAATGTAACTTAAAATTCCCACTCATATAAATACAATAATATATAGTAATATGATGAAGAAAATAATACGAACCAGGTTAAACTATGACAACGCAATATAAGAATGTATGATCGAAACATAAATCATAATAAATCACATATGATTAAAACATTAAATTAACTTCAAATATGCATGTCATTGCGTCAACATTGAAAATAATTCGAAAATGAATAAAAAGAAACGTACATTTCAAAGCGTAAAGAAACAATATCCTGTTATTTTGGGATATGCTATGAAGAACTTCAAAATGTAATAGAAATAACATTAAATTATTGAAAGCTATTGCTCGTAAAATATGTCCTTGCGACAACATCGAAAATAACTCCATAATGAAAAACAATTAACTTTAATTTTCGAAACATACACAAATATTCTCTGTCTTTTTTAAGACGTGTCACGAATAATTTCACAGCTGGTAGAATTAGCATGAAATTATAGAAACCATTTGCTAACAAAAACTTGAAAATTAGTAATCACAAAGCGTCACAAACATAGCTATTGCCCCCGCCACATGTCGATATCTGAATGTCGCAATCATCCTCTGTCTGACCCTGAAAATTATGTAAACGTTACCGAAACTGTCATCTGATGCCTTGATTCAAAATGCGAACAAATTCCATCCATTAGGTTTGGAGATATCGCAAGAATACTCGCTGTGACCTTGAAAATAATGCGAAGGTCACTGAATTCGACTGGCGTCAGACGATACTCCCAACGCATCTTGGTACTACCTTTAAGCAAAACATATTAATTCTGTCTTGTATTTTCGCACTAAAAGTTAGACATGTGCAAAACACTTTTCACTGTGAACTTAAAATGAGCACAAGTTTCCCAATCAATTGGTGTTGGGGGAATCCCGCCAATACACCTTGATATAAAATTGGATCAAAATCTATTAATACTTTCCTGAGTTCGCGGCTACCAAGCTTGGCATGTGCAAAACTGTTACACCTTCGCTGTGACCTTTAGAATGACCTCAATGTCATCTAAATTCAAGTGGTGTCGGTAAATCTCCGATCTCCAGTCAATAAACCTTGGTACCAAATTTGAACAAAATCCATCATTTCTTTCTCGAGTTCTTTCAGTAAACAGAATGGGGAGTCATTTGAACAAGCGATTGTAGTTTTGAAATTGCCTTTTTGTGCAGTTTAATATCTATGTTTGATTCTAGCCGACTTCTACCAATCTCAAACATAACATATTTTGTTTCCTGAAGTTTGTGATGCATATTATTGCAGATTTTACGTTTTTTGGGAGTACCAAGCCAAGATACAGAGTCTCACAAAATGGGGATCGTGAGGCTGCAACATAGCAAAACCAATTTGCTTGAGGCTGACAGATAATATGTAGAAAAATAAAACATAAAAACAGCTGCATTTGTATCATATTCTAGGTGAGGCTGACTACTATTTGAACGTCCCTCGTAGTTATACCCGTTAGAACACCCACCCACCTCTCCGACTCTACATGCATGCAAGTGTGTTAGATATACCCGTTAGAAACCCACCCCTACCCCACCCCCACTTTATATGTATACATATCAAAACCTCAAAAGAAATTTGCGAAAAGACATGATACAGAGGACAGATTATATCGATTATATATCAGGACGAATATCATTTTCGTCATTTTAGTTAAGATTTGTCAATTCTTTCTTGGGTTATCGCGCTTACAATCTTTATGTTGGCAAAACCCTCAGATTTTTGCTGTGACCTTGAAAATTATCTCAAGGTCACTCCGTTTTACTTGTGTCGGTGAATCTCGCCAATATACCTTGGTACCAAATTTGAACAAAATCCATCATTTCTTTCTTGAGTTATCGCCCTAACAAGCTTATTTGATGTATGAAATGCAACGAAAAACAAACACCCGCGTATTTACGAGTGATTAAAACTGTTATTACAATTTACGTAAATATTTATTACATTTTACCGCAACGAAAATTATTACAATTAACGTCAATTTTTATTACAATTTGCGTATTACAATTTACGTCAATTTTTATTACAATTTACGTTTTTATTACAATTTACGTCAAGTTTATTACAATTTGCTGCAAGTATTACAATTTGTGTTTTTATTACAATTTACGTCGTAACAACCCATGTGGGGAATCGAACCCGGGTCTTCGGCGTGACGAACGAACGCTTTAACCACTACGCTACCCCACCGCCCCGAAATAATGCGGGAACGTATGGTATAAGTCAAATAGGGAATTACATCGGACATAATTTTTGTCACTGATGCATCAAATTTTGAAATTTCCTCCACATGCCTACCGTAATACTTCTTGCAAGCTCTACTGAGACCTTGTAACCTTGATCAAACAACTGAGCAAGAGTGGCATGACTCTCTTTGAAATCCTAATTAAAACAGCACGCTCGACTGCACGTCAAAAGTTGTGAAATATAAACACCAAAGGCATGAGCTGTTGGAATATTAATATTGCTCGAAATGAAAGGGAAGTTGACTATTGGAAAGGGAAGTTGACTATTGGAAAGGGAAGTTGACTATTGGAAACCCATAAGCATCAAGTCAATAAAGGGAACTGTATCCACAACAATTTTGTCCAATTAAGACATTTCGTCCACACGTCTAACCCAATTAATTTTGCAAATATGTATATAGATTTCGAAATCAAAGAATTCTTATGTTCGTACCGCGATGAAAAATCTTTGAGCACGAGTTTTTGAGCAGATCAATGATCAACCTAAGGCTAAAGTTGATTATCTTGGCTGTTTTAAGTTTGCTAGTGAACGGAATAATATTGAGATTCATTAATGAACTGATTAGCCGGTGTGTGCGCGCACGTGCGTGCGTGCGTGCGTGTGTGTGTGTGTGTGTTTTTGTGCAATTTGTCATTCTACTTCTACCCGAAAAGACAGCTTTCATTTGTGAGGAAGCACGCCTACCTCATTTGAAGTGGTGACTTGCCCCATGACCTTCCTTGAATAATGCTGTGAGAGGATATTTTCCCTCTTCTTGCGAATACTTGATGTCAACATCAATTAGATGTATGTATGTGTGTGTGTGCGTGCTTGCGTGTGTGCGTGTGTGTGCGTGCGTGCGTGCGTCTGTCTCTCTCTCTCTCTCTCTGTGTGTGTGTGTGCGTGCGCGCGCCTGCTATATGGCGGCGGTCTGTAAATAATCGAGCCCGGACCAGACAAAACCGTAAAAAATGGACCGCCTCCGTGGTGTAGTGGTTAGAGCGTCCGCCCGGAGAGCGGAAGGTCGCGGGTTCGATCCCCGACCGCGTCATACCAAAAGACGTTAAAATATGGTACTTGTTGGTCCCTGCCTGGCGCTCGGCATTACAGGGTACAACAAGGACTTGTCGGCTCGGAGTCAGTATAATGTGTCTGAGTAGGGTATTCATGCTTCACTGCGGCATGGTATCTCAGTGGGCTAGCACTATAAAACCAGCTTCAGTCTGGGCTAGTACAAGCAGCCGCACATACACATACACACGCATGCACGTCGTCATATGAGCGAAATATTCTCAAGTACGACGTTAAACTCAATTTCACCTCACCTCACCTCACCTCACCTCACAATACCGTAATCAACATCATGAGCATCGATCTACGCAAATGGGATACATGAGTCAACCAAGCCAGCGAGCCTGACCACACGATCCCGTTAGTCGCTTCTTACGACAAGCATGGGTTACTGAAGACTAATTCTTACCTGGATCTTCACGGGTGTATGTTTATGTGTATGTTTGTACACTGACATTTCAATGATATTTCTTACCTTGACTCCACAGCCGCTCCTGCTTGCTCTGCCGATGACCTTGACATCGCCTTCATCATTGATGCTTCAGGAAGTATTGGAGACGAGAATTTCGAACTGGTCAAGAATTTTGTCAGTGAATTCATAGGCATTGCCAGCATGGATGACGGAACGGTCAGAATAGGAGTACTGACGTTTTCCTATTCAGTCAGGCTTTATGCTTATCTAAATTCTTACTCAACAGCCAGATCCCTCCAGGAGGTTGTGAAGAACATCAGCTACGACAGTAGCTCCACCTACACAGCTGCGGGTCTGTGGGCAGCGAACAACCATATATTTGTCTCACGGCGTGGTGACCGAAGTGATGTTCCAAACGTTGCCATACTCATTGCCGATGGGATATCCAATATCGATCGAGCGAATACCATACCACAAGCAAACCTTCTGAAAGATACTGGAGCCAAGATTATTGCAGTTGGAATAACCACTAGCAACAGAACGAAGGACGAGCTCGACAAACTTGCTTCTTTGCCTTTAAGTGACCATCGAATTGACGTTGACGACTTTACGAAACTCAAGGGCTTGTCGAATTCTATTCTGTCAGTTACCTGTGCGGGTAAGAACACGTATATTTTTTGCCGGTTCTTACTTTATTTGTGCTGTTAACTGCTGTACAATGTGGTGCTGACCACTTTACCAATACTTCGACATATCGTAGCATTGTGTGAACTCCTTATGTATGTAAGACCACAAGAAAGATTCAGTGTTCGGAAATGAGGAACTTGAATCAATAATTCTCATTCAAGCGTGACCGTGATGTACATATGGTCATTCCAATACAACAACGATGGAAAAAAGGTTTCATGTAAAAATTGTTTGTTCGTTGTCTAACTCCGCTCTGAGCAATATTCCAGTTGTTCCAGACTAGAAATTACGCTGATTATCTCCCTTTGGCAATGTGTGGTATAGGCTTCTGGTTTTGTGAAAATAAAGAATGTAATGAAAATTCAAAATGTGCTGAAAATAAATCGAGTTCAATTATTTATCAAATTCTCTATATCGAAAGCATTATATATGTGTCGCTATAGCTACAGGGACGCCTGATCTATCTCTGCTTCTGCATTCACAGAAACGTTAACACCACCGCCGATCACTACACCAGCACCAACTACTACGACCACGACATTTACTACTACACCAACAACCATAACCACCACAGCAACCACTACCACTAGTCCCACAACAACATCTACTACTACATCGACATCTACTACAACAGCAGCTACGACCCAAATGACAAACCCAACAACAAAAGAAGAGGTCACAGAGGAACCGGAATATACTGGCACAGGATTCGGTATTATAGTCGTTACCCCTGGTGGAATGACCACTGAAGGTAAGGTTAAATATAATTTATACTCAAGGAAACTATCAGTTAATAGTGCTTAAAATGGAAGTCTTTGACGACTTTTACAAGTGATACACATAAAGGCAACTCTATATTTTGAGGAACACGACGTTTCGGAGAATATTCATACGCCTTCATCAGGCGAATGATTCATATTCCACAGCATTCACCTGACAAAAGAGTAAGAGCATACTCCAAAAGGTCGTGTCCCCCAAAATATAGAAGTTGACATCCATGAAATTCTTTTCTTTGAGTGCTTAAATGGCAAAATGGTTATCGAACCCTTAGGAATGGTTCAATGAACAATATAGTATGGGGCCTGTATGTCTCTCGAGGCGTTACTTCCGGTAATAAGCTGGATCCCAACTCCCTTTGCGTGATCCAACTTCCAAAAAGCGAGTCGGGCCCAGCTTACTTCCGGTACCCGATTTCCGGTGACAACCATCTATTCAAGAACCAGTTCTGGTTCCAGATTGCGCGACTGACAAATATGACTTTACTAGACCGGATCAAGAGTACAACCATGCGTTGCTGTCACAGCTGTTGGCAGTGGTAAAAGTTTGCTAATTTGGGGATGGTTAGATCGGAAATTTGTTATTCCTGCAAGGATGATCGGTTCCTTACTGTCAACTGACAACCATGAAACCATTCGAAAAGGTATGAAACGTTGTTTGTCACCGGACGAACTTAAGGTCTCGCGAAGTGCCGTGACCTACTTACGGGCCCTATGGGTAATCATGTCCCGTGCTAAGTGCTCCATACACAGTTGTTAAACAAAGCTGAGTGTATGAAGTCTGACGCGGCATCCAACGGTACTTCTGCAATACGACATAGAAACACATGAATATACACATTTAACGGGTACATAAACTGATGTCTTTTAAAAGTGAAACAGATAGTGTAGAAGTGTACACAGTTGCCTGTATTACTGACCTAGGTTGTGAGAAGTAGCATATCATAGCATAACCTTTTGAAGGTAATGGCTAGATTTACCTACACAAAAAAAGCATCATTGATGTTCCATTTAGCATGGGTAGTTGACAGTTCTTGTCAATACCCTAAAGAAATGGATTAACAAGACATCGTCTATTTACAACACAGATACAACAGCTACAACAGCTGCCACCACGACGACAACTTCTACAACTACATCATCAACAACTACCACCACGACCACCACACCAGACACTACGTCAACAACGAGCAGTACAACAACGTCGGCAACTTCTACGACTCCATCCACAACTACATCAACTACTACGGCAGCTACCACGATGAACACACCTAACACTACGCCAACAACAACCAGTTCAACAACCTCGACAACGTCGACAACCCTTACCACTTCCGAGCCTCTCACTACAACACCTGCAGTTGGTCCATTGACCAAACCAGATTCCACAGGTAGTCAGAAAATAGTTGGTAAAGATATGTCTGAAATATTGCTGACGTGGCGTTAGATTTTAACTCACACACCCACAAAATAATTGTTCCTATATGAGAAAAGCTCCAGAAACGTCTCATGCCCTTTAAACATTAACATTAAAACTAGATATCTAGGAAACCAGAAGAAAGGAGACGCCCAGAAGTCATGAGTTCCAAAAATATATAAACATCTACAGTAATACACGATTAAATGAACACATGAAAGTGCAAGTGGTAGTTTATTTATTTCCAGATCTGGACCCACAGTGCAATACAAAGCACGTGAAGAAAAGTAGAAAAAATAGTAATGATTGTACTTTAATCTTTTCCCATATTCTGCCCATGTTCGTATCTTAGTCATACTTCAAAATAATTGAAAAAAGAATGAATCAACTCGTATCATACTATCAGTTTGTCCGGACCAGGTGTCAACAACATGAGTATGCCATGCTGTACTGCCATACTGTTATGAGTAAAGGGTAACGTCACGTTGACGTCATGTCAACGTCATAGAGATGGTTTTAGAAATTGTGCGATTATACGAATATACTAGGCGTTGGCAAAATGGGCATCTGAGACTGAGGAACACCATTATCATCTATAATAGAAGCTGTCTACATTTTGCTAGTTTTGACCTTTTATGCTTCTATTTATTCCACAGTCTGCCTCGACAACCCTTTGGACATTGCTTTCATCGTAGACGCCTCTAGCAGTGTTGGAAATGATCACTTCCGCCTCGTTGTCGACTATATCAAATCTGTCCTCTCCACCACCGACATTGACGGCGGGAAGGTCCGCGCAGCCGTCCTCACCTACAGCACTGACACCACTGTCCACATCAACCTGAACGACTTCAAAACAAAGAAGGAGATATACGGTGCCCTTGACGGTATCCCCTATGTTCCAGGGTGGACGAACGCAGCTGAGGCGTTCCAAACACTCAGAACCAAGGTGCTCACGGCCAGGACCGGCGACCGGGACAACGTGAAGAATGTTGCTTTGCTGATCACTGATGGGAGGTCCAACATCAACAAGGACAGAGTTGTCCTGGAAGCTAATGAAGTGAAGAAGGCAGGGACGCATGTCCTTGCCGTTGGCGTTGGTCTGGCCTCGCTGGAGGAAGTGGACAATGTCGTAACATCACCGGCCAATGAGAACCGATTTACTGTAGCAAGTTACGAAGACTTAAGGGGATTAGGAGAAGTTTTGTTTCCTTTTCTGTGTCAGGGTGAGTGTAAGTTTTAGTTACGATATATACGCACTTATACACATGTTAAACGTCCGGGATAGATGCCAGTCATGAAATGTTTTCTAATAACGAGTCGCCCGAGAAGATCCGAGTTAGAATCAGTAACCAATGCAAGAGGCGACTAACAGGATCAGGTGGTCAGGCTCGCTGACTTGGTTGACACGTGGCATCGATTCCCAGTTGTGTAGATCAATGCTCATGCTGTTGATCTCTGGATTGTCTGGTCCTGGCTCGATTATTCACAGACCACCGCCATACAGCTGGAATATTGCTGAGTGCAAAACCAACAACCAAACTAACTCTTTGTCAGGGGCAAACGTCTGAGATCTGAATCGCTTCGGGCTTTCCTTACAACTAACGGGCCTGTTGATTAGCCTGTTATATATTTGCATTGGTACATTAAATTCCAGGTAGGGGTTGCCTCGTCTGTTTACATGTTTAATGGAACCTACATACTTTGCTGAATTACCTGAACAATTTTCTGAAAATCCAATTCACGTTCAATTTCGAAAATGTTCAAACTAATTCAAGTACCGAAGTAGGCTCAAATTAAGTACTTATCATTTTAAGAATGGGGCGTTAATGTCATGCGATTTTGAAGGATTTCAGTTAGTCACTGGAAGGGAATGTTTAAGGTAGCTTTGTTTCTTTGCACACCGAGACCATGCGTTGACATGACATGTTGGAATTTGAGGGCTGGCTATTCTGTTTCTTTCAATCACTACTATATTTTGTTGCAGATCGACGCGTGACAGGAAATTGGGGAGGTAAGATTTCACTGTGAACTTATTGTAGCCATTCTTCCTGAGTAATCTAATGTTTTCTTCTTGTATATCAACACATATCTATCTCGACCTGTACATAAGTCCTATCAAAATAGTTTCAAATCTCGAAGATGACAAGGGCAATTCTATCCTTCGTCCTTTACATTTGTAATGACGTGCAAAGAAACAAAAACTTTTTATCATCTATTCTATTATCTAATCTTTCTACGTTGGATACATATCTAAACGTCAACATACAATATAAGGGCGCGTGGTGTTGTGCACAGTTCACAAATCAGGTTAAACAAAGCCGGTGGCGTAGAGTAGGTAAATGTGTGACCGCGTTTGGAAGCTTAACTAGTGAGTTTCCTGCCTCATACTGAGGCAGCACCTGTGTTGTCGCCTTGTTCGAGTGAGTGAGTTGGGTTCTACGCCGCTATTCCAGCAATATCGCGGCGGTAGACACCAGGCATGGGCTTAACACTTTGTACCCATATGTGGAATTGAACCCGAGTATTCAGCGTGACGAGCGAACGCTTTAACCATGAAGCTACCCCACAGCCCCTGAAATGGAGTGAACACTGATTGATAAATATCGACCGAATAAAATCGACCGTGTTGCAATTTTGAACATGCCTCTGTGTGGTGTGGAAATATAGCGCCAAATAAATGGCATTGCTTTAAATCTCGACTACAAATAGGATAAACAAAAATAAGGATGATATAGGGTACACAAAATGCCTCCGTAATGAAATTAATAATTGTTATGACACGAAATCCTTAGGGCTAGAATACAAATTAATGTATCACAATTGATAATGTAATTTGATTTTTTTCCGATGAGATTTTCATAGAATGTGTTTTATGAGTGATTACAAATGTGATGAAACTGTTTTACTTTTACTGAAGATGGTGCAACTGGCGTCCCAGGAAGCCGAGGCACAACACCAGAAGGTATTTAAAATATACTAAATTTATATACATAGCTAACGAACCTAAGTATGCCTCTAAGTGAGTGAGTAAGGGTTGAAGAGGCTATAGCAATATTCCAGCAAAACCACGGCGTGGGACACCAGAAATGGACATTCACATTGCACCCATGTTGGTACCCACCGCCCGGTAGGCCTGCAACATGAGACCAGGGTTCGTCATTACCAGGTAGGATCCACTTTAGAGTTCGCCATCCTTAATCCTTGCATGTCGCAACTTACGGGATCTGGTGCTCAGTCTCATTGACTTGCCGATGCATGTGATCGTATCCCAGTTACGTAGATCGAGCCTCTGGAAATGGTTAGACGTTTCCATTTACAGACACCTTGATATAGCTTGAATATTGCTGAGGGTCGTGTTAAACATATAATGGAACCAGCGGATAGAGTATGGATTTGTTTTCGAGAATCAGCTACATATATACTCAGGAGAATCAGCTACATATATACTCAAAAGGCAAAGTTATTGTGACATACAAATAAAGTCAGTACGAAAATGTTACTGTGGCGAAAAGAAAGTTTTAATCAAAAACAGTTTAAAGGTATCATGGCAACAGTCTATAGGTGAGGTGAGGTGAAATTGGGTTTAAAGTCGTGCTTGAGAATATTTCGCTCATATGACGACGTGCATGCGTGTGTATGTGTATGTGCGGCTGCTTGTACTAGCCCAGACTGAAGCTGGTTTTATAGTGCTAGCCCACTGAGATACCACGCTGCAGTGAAGCATGAATACCCCACTCAGACACATTATACTGACTCCGAGCCGACCAGTCCTTGTTGTACCCATTAATGCCGAGCGCCAGGCAGGGACCAACAAGTACCATAATTTAACGTCTTTTGGTATGACGCGGTCGGGGATCGAAACGCGACCTTCCGCTCTCCGGGCGGACGCTCTAACCACTACACCACGGAGGCGGTTGCAACAGTCTATAAGAACAGCACACCTGGTACATGCAAATGAGCCACAAAACAAAAAGGGGTTCACAAGCATGTTCACAAGCAAGTAGCGAGTGTGTCCACCTAGTGCAGTGCCCAGGGTAGCGTCAATGAGGTCACTAAACGTCGGTGAGGAGATCTTCCTGGAGATATTTGGTGGAGTTCCTGGAGCGTTGATGAAGATTCGCATGACGTCGTAAACGCCATTAAACGTTTACCTGTGAACACGTGTCCTGCCGTCAGCTCGGCGAAGAAGGAACCGTGACTCGCCGGAGAAGAGAACTCTTCCATTAACGAGCACCCATCGTTGTTGTATGCTCAACGTTCTGTCGTCATAAATGGCAAGAGGTCTTCACACGGAGACGTCGTCGAACCCTTCTCGCAGATATGGTACGGACTGTATGGAGTTTCTCTCTGGAACCTGTTTCGGAGCTGCGTAGTTCTTCTGTCCGGAAGAAGAGTAGGGTCGCTCATGGTGAGCGGTCACTACGGGGGCGGTCTACAACGTGATTGTTTTGCGCCAAACGTCGCCTTAAGTGCTAAATTGTGTTTCTATGGACATTAACTCGACGAGTAACGTCACGCTGTCTGACGCAAATCTATAGCCTTCGTCATTTCCCCGAGGCATATCAACCTTTTCCAGAACAACGAATACAGATGTTTTTGTGCATTGTTTTCTCGACAATGTCATGCTTCTTGTACATTCAGAGCAATTCGAACAACAACTGCTTGGTTGCGTTTTTTCGACGATGTTAACACTCCTTGTCTGAAAAACGAAGATAATTTTTATGGATATACAACTTCTTTATTCTGTACAGACGACGTTCCGACACGGATGTCGTTGCACTCTACAGATACAATGTCGTTGTCAAGCTAATGTATAGGTGACGTTTCGACATGGATTCTAATGTCGTTGTTAAGCCACTTGCCAGACAACGGTATTAGAATGTAAACTACAAACAAAAAGTATGGGAACACCCTAAAGTTTGATAGACATATATAAACTTAACGTGGTTAGGTCATTTATACTCTGAGGTAAGTGCAACATTTTGTGTGCTTAATGGGCACTTTCAACGACATGTTTCAACATGCAGTGAAGCAACGGATTCAATATTCGTTGAGTTTGAGTGAAATGAAACATTGTCAAAAATAGCGAGAAACAAGAGTGCTGAAACACACCAGTACCATGTTTGATTCAAACGTCCCAACGCAACAGCCTAGTGCATGTGGAAGACAGACTTCCCATGCAGCTTGTGGTAACGTTTCCTTTAAGAAAAGCTACAGACAGTATCGAAGCCTCACAGCTTCTTCACTATGCCACAGTGCAGACCGTTTTGCGCCCACGACAGAAGCAGGGCCATTGCATGGTTACAGGGTGGTGTTCCATAGGAAGTGTTGCTCGCTGTCTTCAGGTGTCTCCCTCCGTCACAGACTGAGGGACAGGTTCCAGGCCACTGGTAGAGCACAGGACAGACCTCGCTCTGGAAGAGGAGATGACCGATATGTTGTGCTCCAAGCCCGTCGGAACTGATTCACAACTGCCAGTGCCCAGTTGCCACAAGCTGCATGGGAAGACTGTCTTCCACATGCACTATGTTACAATTGAATCAGTTGCATGTTCCAACATGTCGTTTAAAGTGTCCATTAAGCACACTAAATTTGCATTTACCTTAGAGTAGAAATGACCTCACCACGTTTAAGTTTATAAATGACCATAAGATTTTAGGGTATTCCCATACTTTCTGTTTGCAGTACATGTCGAAACGTCGCCGATACAGAATAAAGAAGTTGTATATCCATAAAAATTATCTTCATTCTTCATCTCCTCAACTTCTAGAATGCCAATCAAAGAATTCATACGTCGTCTACATGGAGACGTGGCAGTCATAACCATTAACAATCTAAGTAGCTTAGAGAAGAAGTTCCTTCACTCCAGCACCCACTTAACATTCCTCATGAGATGCCGGGACCAACACATCATGTCTAAAGTCCTGAGATTGAGAAGCCCGGTTTCATCATTTCAAAACACTCTACAGAAAGCCACTTGCTTGGCATCGACATTAGAATCTATGTCGAAACGTCTCCTGTACAGAATAAAGAACTTGTTTATCCATAAAATGTATTATAAATCTCCTCAACTCCTAGAATACCAATCAAAGAACTCTTTGTCTGGCTCAAATCCAAACATTATTAAGATTACCAATGAAATTTCTTTTTGTCACAATCACGTTTGCCTCTGAGTAAAGATTGAAATGCCCCATTGAGTAATGCCCAAACGTATATAGCTCTTGAACAACTTTATATAGACTTGAGGGCACTTGCAATAAGCATGTGACTTGTCCTCATTTCAGTAAGAAGAATAAGTCCATGACTAAGTTGTAGGAAGCCACGTTTTCCAGATTTATGTCAGCAATGTGAATTTTAGAGTGGTGGGATTTCGTTTTGACTTATTATTTTCAGCTCCGAAATCATCTGGATCTACAACACAAGAAATGTCCACCACAGGCGGTACTCAGGGTAAGACATGTTTAATGTCGATATGGTTAAAGTAGTTTTGAATGTGTTCCTGCATCATCATGTCTCTAGGTCTAAATGTTTCATGCCCCTTCTAAACGATTTTACAATGATATGGGAAAATGCGGATTTTATTTATTGGAATACGGACGGGTATTGCTTTGCGCAATGTTTAAAAGTATTTAAAAAAAATCATGGTGGAAATACACAAAAATGGTCTTCTCACAAAGTAAAGAAAAGGCGATTCGAATCTTCTTTGACGTGATGTAAAAACTGTTTACCACTATGCTATCTCAAGTAATTACAGACTGGTAAAGTGCGCAGTGTGTTGAGATCACTCACTGGAAATGCGTGGTATTTAGGTTCTGTGGGTCATGTCACGATTACAATTCAGACCTTCCCGAGAGATTTGACTCTCATCCACAAGGGACATGCACCAGAAAATATACATGCAATGGTCTTTGTCACTTCAGTAAATATATGGTGAGAATAGAAAACAACAGACTGCATTATACAAAAGGAGAATATCGATGCGTATCAACTATTCAGATATGACCGTCTTTCTATAGGTGGGCGATACAGCGGTACAACAGATCAAAACATGACCTTGTCTACGACAATTCCATTGGTGGTGAACACACGTCAGTTGCAGTGCCACGCCTGGTGCCAAGACAATCAAGAAGAAACGCCGGCTGTGAATATTAGCGATTTGGTACGGGAGCTCACCTTGCCTAAAGCGATGTTGTCAAAACAACAGAGAGCCAAGGGGAGTGCGTTTGACGACAGCCCAGTCGCGAAATCCGTTGGGACAATTGTTTTTCTGTTGTGTTCAACTCCTTTCTTTATCTTTGTTGGGTGGGATATACTGGATTTGGCGCGCTATCTATCCAGTACTAGAAAAGAGTTTCTTTCCGATGCTTAGATAAATAATTTAGCTGAAACATCACATCAATATGTGCGATATGGATACTTGGTAGTCAAGACAATGTCAAGATTCGTTGTTTGAATTTTTTCGATTTCATTTTCACCTCGAAATGGATCCTTTTCTTGTCCGCGCCATATCGTACGTCTCAATAAATCCGTAAAAAATATTCCGGTTAAATAAGTAACTGATATTGTCAGATAACGCCCGCAGAGATGTGGTTGTAAATGTAATAAAAGACCATTGCTTCAGAAGGTAATAATAATCAAATATATTTAATACTAAATATAGTACCAAATTGTAAACTGAAAAATGAAAGTATACACTTGTAAATTTAAATACAAACGTTATCAAACTGTTACAAGACTGGAAACTGTTGTCGAATTGCTGCGAACTCAGATTCAAATATGCTGGTAGCCATTTTAATAAATGACGAAAAATAATTTCTAAATCGGTGAAGGGACATGCTCAAACTAATAAGAGAACTAAATACTATTCCCATATTAGAAATACAGGGGCCCGTTTCACAAAGCTATCGTAGCGCTACGACTGTCGTACCTCCTATACTGTAACATAGACTTACGACAGTCGTAGCGCTACGATAGCTTCGCGAAACGGGGCCCAGAATATTTTATATGAAGCGTTTTTCCCGACACTAATAATGACGTGAGGTGAGGTGAAATTGGGTTTAACGTCGTGCTTGAGAATATTTCCCTCATATGACGACGTGCATGCGTGTGTATGTGTATGTGCGGCTGCTTGTACTAGCCCAGACTGAAGCTGGTTTTATAGTGCTAGCCCACTGAGATACCATGCCGCAGTGAAGCATGAATACCCCACTCAGACACATTATACTGACTCCGAGCCGACCAGTCCTTGTTGTACCCATTAATGCCGAGCGCCAGGCAGGGACCAACAAGTACCATATTTTAACGTCTTTTGGTATGACGCGGTCGGGGATCGAACCCGCGACCTTTGGCTCTCCGGGAGGACGCTCTAACCACTACACCACGGAGGCGTCACACTAATAATGAATCCTCTATTTAACAATATACATAAACACGACAAAAAGATGCAAACATGCTTTAGAAAACACAGCAAACTGGGAACGCCACATTCACAGGAAAAAGTAGATACAATTTATAATGTCGGCAAAATACTACACACATTGTCACGCCCCAAGAGATATGGTTATACTGTACTTGCTGGAAGTGAGGCATGGTTATCTGCATATACATGCATGGCGTTCAATCCCCAGTAGATTTCGACTCTGCTGTCTTGTATATCCCAGTTGCAGTCATATTTAGATTCTAGCTGGGCCGTGTGAGTATATTCCCAGCAGGATACATTCATAGCATAACAGATCTGTTCATGACGTTTCCATTAGCACCCAAGCGTACTTATCCCACGTAAACAAAAGAGTCACGACTTTGAAAAAAAATATCACCTTGCAGTTGCAGTCTTCACCAATAATGCACTCTTCTGTCTTCAGAATATATTTATTTGTAGCACGACTCGTTGCACATAATACGCATAACAACAGATATGTCATCACCATAAACTAAATAGTTTAAATCGTAATGGATGGTTTGTACTATTCCGTACAAATGTCGCTGGTTTTATTGAGCCTTCTCACTGACCTACCATACCATAGTTGTACGCGGAGACTCATCTCCTAGCCAACAATACCTTGTTTTATCCACGTACATTTCTTGGTGCCAGGCAGGATAACAGCGAGTAGTATCTTTTAACGTCTTTTAGTTGGTGTTTCGACCACGGTTGGTGTTTTAACCATTGACTTTGCGCTCTCCGGACACTTTGGTCAGGGGCGTAGCTACCATTATAAAAAAAACCCGGGCTTATACATGATTTTAGCTATGAAAGTTTTGCAAGCCCTAAAACATATCTAAATGTAAAGCCTCGCAACCTGTCGGACTTACACGAAAAAATTACTTGCTACGCACCTGCTGGTGGTGATGGGAGCGTTTTGTAAAGAGTCACAGCCGGCTCTGCAAAGAACCTCAAAGTTATGTTGTTGAATTATTTTCATATTAAATGTGCTGCATCTCCCCTGCATGTGGGAATCGTCTGAAATTTACACCATTTCTTGTTGACACGCACCCTTTCCAGGAACACAGTCTGACTAGATGGGTGTACAGTTTGTTGAATAAATAAGTACGTTAATTTGTTCATTTTCGTGTTTGCATTTCATATAATCCAGTGCATTGGACCGTTGGCATAAAGCTCAGGCACCGTAACATCATGTCTTGTATATATTCCTATTTGAACGAAACGTAGTAAATATTCCTCGTCTTTAACACACGACACGGATGCTGCCAATACTAAATTAACGCTATACGCCCAAGCGTAGAGTTACTTCCCTTTACATGCACCAAATCAAATCATGGTCTCTGGTTTAACAAACAGATTTTGTAGGAGCTGTGATTTTATGTAAATTGTTTGTGTTTTTTAAATCACAACTTATCATATTATTCGATATTTACTGCTGCCTTTTTCTGAAGAAATTACTTTGTTCAATAATCCCTCTACGTCGACGCATACAGTCAAACCTGTATAAAGTAACATACTGTTGGATTATGCTAATGACTTGGACAAAATTGTATTATTTCTGTGGAAGAATAAGATACCATGGGCACATACGAAGGACAATATTGCTAATCTTCCCAACAGTCTTCACAAGTATGCGACTTACCTTGACACCAAAACACTTGGGACAGATTCCAGTCGTAACAGTTTGGAACATATCAGGACTGTTTCAAAGTGCAATTACTACAAAGATCTGGTTTGAAAGTCTGTGGTGAAGTCTCATTTTCAGCTGAAGTGCAGTGAAGCTCATAAGGCTTGTAATATTTTCAACCACTTAATCCTACATCATAGAAAAAGGTCCTTTTCATGCGCATCTAAATTGGATTTTGAATAGTTTATCATGTTTATTGAAAAGGATCTCAAACTTATTGGAAATAAGATCTTCCTGAAACATCAGATATTTGTATTTAATTTTACAAATTTTGCTTTTCACACAGATGTTATAGATCACAGATGTGACTGTATAATAAAAGCTTGTCTTAATGACTCTTGCCTTGAATATTTTGATGGGAGGGAGGACTGTCAGTAATGTCAGAGAGAGAGAGAGAGAGAGTTGCCACTTAATTTTTGAGTCGTTCGGGTAATCGGTATATTAAAATCTGACTATCCTGTCAAGGTGTTTGCGGCATTCGGACGTGCTTAAAAGTTTGTGCCTGCTATTTGACAATCTTGAAGGCTTCTTATTGACAGAGTGAGTGAGTTTAGTTTTACGCCGCATTCAGCAATATTCCAGCTACTAGTATATGGCGGCGGTCTGTAAATAATCGAGTCGGGACCAGACAATCCAGTGATTAACATGGTGAGCATCGATCTGCGCAATTGGGAATCAATGACATATGTCAACCAAGTGAGCGCGCCTGACCATCCGATCCCGTTAGTCGCCTTTTACGACAAGCATGGGTTATTGAAGGCACATTCTAACCCGTACCTTCACGGGTACTTGTTGACAGAGGAAATACATCATGCTTCTTTTTCCGTAATGGTAATAACGTACTTTCTGTCATGACATAAGATCGATTAATATGACAGAAATGAAAAAGGACTTTGCCCTCATGAATATAACGATTAAAGAAAAGAAACTATTCTGTATTGTGGAAACGAAAATTACTACAACGATAGTGTCCGAAGTACCACCTATGTTCACACACATCAGATGATAGCCTTATTATCTTTTGTCATTCTACCGTCTCTAGCCAAAATATCCTAAACATAGCATGTTTTCCAGGAATGAACATATATTAGGTCAGGAGGTTTGTCTTTCAGACAGTGAAAACAGTCAATACGTCAGTTCCATCAGGAATCTGTTTATTGACATAGTGACGTAATTACATTTAACAAATAAATAACGAAAGATTGCACATATGAATCGACCCCACTAGACTAACTGCCCTGAATCAAATCGACCGTACTCTAACCCGATTCTATTAGACCCTTTGTTCGTATCAGCAAGAGTCAGATGTACACACAGCGACAAAATGAAACAAGAAAATAACTCGGATATATTAGACCCCAATTCAACAGTTATAAATAGGGAAATAAACCCCCAAATGCAAAGGCCTTCAAACGCAGAATTGGCAACTGATTCAGCGTGGTTAGTGTGCTCACTATTAGGGCTGCGCAAAATAACCGGTTTACCGGTATTTACCGGTTCAGACATGAAATCGATACGTATTGCGATACGCTGATCGAAAACCGGTATTTCGACATGCATTCGGAAAACATCGTAACACTCAGACATCTGAAAGTTAAGTTCGGTTTGAAGTTATGTTCTTAATTTTTGTTAAAATGTTTCGCAATGTTTGGGATCTGAATGTTTTAAATCTCAGGGCTTTTTTGAGAGTGGAGAAATAAGTTCAAACTGGTAACCACTGTGTTGATGTTAAATCGTTCTTTTCCTTGTTTCCTCATGATTACAAGTTTTTATTAAAGCTTAATCAAGCATAGTGATTTTGTTGTGTTTTAACTCGATCATAAGTTAGTTTTTTGTTTAAAAGAAATTCTTGCAATATATTGCAATACATATCGCAATATATGCTTTCGCATCGCAATATATCGCAATATGAATATTCTCTGCAATACCCACCCCTACTCACTATATAGTTTCGGGATTAATATTGCTGAAGTTGCCTTAATACACCAGTTACACACGGACTTTAGTATCTCAGAAAAGTTTTGATACTGATAACAATTATCCCAATAGTTTACCGAGGTTGATGGTGATTAATTATGAGTAGAACTCACCTGACATTTGTATCTTTGTATATAAATGACCCCAATTACAGTTTTGATAATTTGGGCTTATGTTGCCGATACATCTGTCCCTTATGTGATACATTGTGTCATTGTTACAAAGCTGCAAGTGTTTATTTGTTATCATTGGTATTTCTAAGAATTGACTGCTAGTACACGTTTATTGTTCCCAGTGCCACCCATCAAATTGCTATCGAAAGGAACTACATTAACCACCCAATTATCAAAGCCATAGGAAGCAGAAATCTTAGGTATAGCATACCTAATTTCATGACATGTAGACACACCACACTTCCCTAAAATATATAAATAAATGCATTTCGTTCAATAATATGAACTATCAGCCCTTATCGAAGCTACCATATAATGTATTCCAAAAAATACGTGTTTAGATTACAATCTTAAATTAAAAAGTTCGAATGAATTAATGCAACGTTGCATTAAATTGACTCTCGCGCCCTCTACCGCCCGAACGTTATTTCAAGCGAACGCCATAGAGTTATGTCCCTTGGAGCGCTCTTTACGAATATCCTATCCACAACTTGTGATTGAAACCAATTCGGCACACACCGACAACACCGCGACCGTTTTCGATGTACGGAGCAATTGTTTACATCACATTATATGGCATGCGTTCTCTGTTTGGAAGATGTTCGCCTCGCAGTTTCAGTTGTCAATTTCAGGCAAGTCGTAAGAAGGCTTAAATGAGTGCATATGACCCAGTATATAATATAGGCCAAAACATTGTCCAAAATGTGTGACATTGTCTACATGTAGACAAATGGACAGTTCGAATGCCCTTTTATCACAAGCGATTGATCATCGAAGTTATATTGCTAATTCATACCTAATATTCAATACAAGTAAACGTCGGTGTAAATATACAGTTCGAAGACAAGCAATTGATCATGGACATTATTCCCTTCAGTACTTAGCACTTGAGAAACCATGTGTTCTTTTCTTCAACTTGCCCCACTTGTTGTGAATACCCTGGGCCATAGACGTGTACAATGCTCAGCTACATATGTGCCACACTATAGACAGGGAAATCATGTCATATTGGTATGGCCAAATACTGATAGTCATCAATACATTTCCTGTTATTTGCATCATCAGACATAGTTTGTAATTGATTACAGATATGGTAATTGTCTGGAACCGTCTTTCTTCAGATTAGTTCGGGGATATTTACTATGTATACACTGATGTAGGAACACTATGAGGAATTACATGAACGGTATAACCTCCTCCCATTGATTCATCACGTACTGGTTCATCTATTGGTTTATATATTCTGAAGCTTGTTTATCTATATTGAAGGAATTGATCATCAACATTATTCGTTTCCTCTTTGGTACTTGATACACTATGCGTTTTTTTGTTGTCTTTGAGTGTATAGCCCCGAGTAAGAATCAGCACACAAAATAATGACGAATTTATAGTGAAGTTGTAATGACGATGTATGTACAAGTTGAAGAGGAACACTATTTATGGATAGAGAACTTCTTTATTTCAATAGATGCGACGTGTTTGTGTTCCTCTTCAATTTTTACATACATCGTCATTACAACTTGACTATAAGTTCTAAATGCCACTCACAGTAGTCATGTAAAAAGCGTAAAGATCAAAATCTGGTGTGTCCACCATATTAGAAGACACATGCCTAACACTTTAATGATGTCCCCATGGTCCCTAGTGAGGTGATGTACCTTCAGTTGTTGGCAACATTAAGCCTGTTTTTATATTGTATTGTCATTATAGTTAAACTATTTTAGATTTAATTACTAGTTTTAAATTTATTTCTGTGATAATCTAGTTGTTTTATTGTACTTTGCAGACAGGTAAGTAGAATATCTAACTTCATATTTATTCAATTATAAATTTACATGTATTTAAGGATTCACTTGCGTATGGTTACCATCGATGCTCATGATGTTGATCACCGGGTTGTCTTGTCCAGACGCGATTATTTACAGACCGCCGCCATATCTATGTGTGGCGTTAAACACCAAACAACCACAACTACTGATGGGTCTGTTGCTTGCTGCAGTACACGACGACTTAGGTCTCCACACCACCAAGGAATTCATTGTCTTGTTTTTCACCAACCCGGAAGTACAGCCCGTGTTTGCGCTCTCTTCCTACTACTGTGACACACACACACCCACACACACACACACACACACTCTCGGTTAAAGATGTCCGTTACACTTGTACGCATAAGAACATGACAGTTTCCCATTGACAAGTTTTAAAAATAACAAGCAACGGATAATGTGGTGTATTAAATAGACCGATCCCGATTTTGAGTTATTTTGCAAATTTTTTTTGCGACAAGCATCTGGGCTTCTGTGTGCACGTGCACCACGCGATGTTCATGCGTAATGCAAATCTTCAGCGTGAGTAATGCCAAGGTGTTGTAACTACACTCATCAATAGTAACTACATTCTAATCATTTACAGAAAAGACTTTTTGTGGGCAGTATATATCGAATGGTATTATCTACAACCGACTCGAAACTTCTTTCAACGTCTTTGCAAGGTGGCCACAGGGATCTGAATGCTTGGCTATTGATTACGTGGATAAATACATACGAGTCTTGATATAGTTACCTATGCGGATGACAACACATTTATCAAGAGTTGATACAGCAGGAATGGGGTGCCAAGCTGTATTCATGGCCGTATGTCTCGTTATGTCGACCATGTCGGAAGGTAGGTAACAGAGGGAAGTTAGTGTTTCTCCTAGGCATTGTTAGCCCGTTTTATTTGTCTCTTTATATTAGCCAATAATGGTTGTTTTATTTGGCGCCCTGTCCTTCTTATAATAGAACAATTGATATTACCATTCGATGGTTTTTAGTTTCTATTTCATGTTGAAGTTAAGTGTTCTTTGAGCCTTTAAGAATCATATGCATGAATAACTTAATAACATTAATACTTGGACATCTGTCCTTTGTGGATCCTGGAGGAAACACTAAAAGTATATGCCATAATATTGGTGATATGTTTTGTTCTTTTAATGACCATCTGGAATTCGTTGAATGGACGAATTGATGTGTTGGGTTTAATGTCACTAAGAAATGGTATTTCATGCAACTTTTAGTCTTCAGTTTCTTTTCAGATTACCATAAGAAAATTAACATAATATACATTTGAATTATCTTGTCAAAAGCCATGTTATTCTTATCTCTGCCACATTCACGAAGGTTACAATTTTGCAAGGTGATAGGTGAGTGAGTATGGTTTTACGCCACTTTAAGCAATATTCCAGCAATATCACGGCGTGGGACACTGGAAATAGGCTTCATACATTGTACCCATGTGGGGAATCGAACCCGAGCCTTCAGCGTGACAAGCGGACGCTTAAACCATTAGGCTACCCCACCGCCCCGCAAGCTGAAAATATCACACAAACATGTTACTGGACACTAAGGCAGAGCAGCGGGGAATATCGCAAAGAACAATGAAGACCAAGGTTTGGGTGATTACACGAGAACACATTGTGAACATGGCGTCAGTTTTCGATTTTCCAACCTGATGACGTCATGAGTGAGTAAGTATAATTTTATGCCGATTTTAACAATATTCCAGCAATATCAGGGCATGAGAGACCAGAAATTGTCTTCACACATTGTAACTCGAAACCGGCTCTTTGGCTCGCTGACTTGGTTGACACATGTCATCGTATCCCAATTGCGTAGATCGGTGCTCATGCTGTTGATCACTGGATTGTCTGGTCCAGACTAGATCATTTACAGACCGCCGCCATATAGTTGCTATATTGGTGAGTGCGGCGTTAAACAACCAACCAACCAACACATTCCATGTACAAAGTTGTGTCCATTTGGCGTATTCGTAGCAAACAATCGGACGGCAGGTGTAATTTGTTTCTAGGCTTGTCAGCCCCATGCCCACGTACGGGGGTCCCATCACAGTTGGGGGCGGCCGTTTAAAGCATCTGGTATCGCTTGAACAGAGGAACGTTGGTCGGAAATGCTCTAAAATCAATTCAACAAATTTCCAAATGAACTCAATTAGCTACAGTTTGTTATTGGCAGTTATGATTTAATCGTTTTCCCCTTCAGTGAACAATGTTATTGTAAGAAGCGTACACCATTAAATTTCAGTGTCATCAGGGTCTATCAACATTGCTCGTGGGAAAGATGCATCCCAGAGTACTACAAGCACTGGCGGCACTGCGGACCGAGCCACGGACGGTATCACCAGCGGTCGTTTTTCAGATGGTTCCTGTACATCAACAAAGTTTACAAACAATCCGTGGTTTGTTCTTGACCTCGGCGAGACATACCAAATACAGAACGTTGTTATCTACAGTCGGACAGACGAATGCTGTGGTGAGTGGTCCAAGATGGGTCCCCGTTAGTTTTCTGTCAATATTGAAAACATAAAAATATTTTAGGCAGCCTGAAGTTAGCGGTGGGTTCGTTGTTCGTTTTTCGATAAAGCAGCCAACAGCGGGTTCGTTATTCACTCTATGTCCATCAATTCTGTCAAATATGAAATATAAGATATAAGCTAACAAGGACCGAGTTGTTTTATTCAGTAATGAAATAACAAGTATTAGATGCCTAAATCCCAGCGGATTCGTGTTTCACTATTTGTATGTCGAATAACGAATAACTTGCTAGCAGCGAATTCTTTATTCAAAGGCTGTACATGAAACATCTACAGTGGTGTGGTCATATACACTAAAACCCATGCAATGAAAGAGAGCAGGTTCCTTTTACGGGTGTGCCACTGAAAGGTCTGCGTTGTCGTGATAGTAAACTGTATTCTTTCAAACACCACATTAAATTTTAATCGCAAAGCCCAGGATAACCTTTTCAAATCACTACATTTAGACATTTACGAAATGATTTCATCATAGCTACCAGTTTCAAGGTTTTATTAAAACACACACACCTTGTGACAAAAATAATGCGACGGAAAATTGCATTGCCTTCGCATGTGTTTGTAACGAATGCTGCTTGTGAGACAGGGTATACACACACAAACCGAAACATGAGTCTCATTAACCTATTCAGATAATGACCTACTTTCAGCCGATCCGAATTTTCTCGTGTGAAAGTGAAAAGAGACACCACAAACAACTATGGTTACACTGAATTTCAATTCATTGTTTCATAAAAAATGGTATTTACAAGTTAATTTTAATTTTAAACTTTAATAACATCGTATTTCTATATTTTATGGCGAGGTGTAGGCAGCATGACCTTAACTAAGACGTCACAGACTGCCCCAGTTTGATGAGGTCGTAAAATGATTCACAATGCATCTGGCTCACTGGTTACACCTGTTATATGTTTTTGTACACGCTTATTCAGTGTAGTTTTGTAACGCACAATGTGATTGATATATTATCAAGTCCGTACCAGACCGCCAAACCTTTCTAGCGGCAGAGCCTCGTTTTGAGATTTCCACGATTTCCAGATTTTCGTTTGTCAGAGCACGCTGTACGACTGAGCACGCTGCACGACGTGTTTGCAAGGATTAGAAGGAACGTAGTGTTGCAATATACAAGTGCTTAGATGTATCAAATAATACTGATTAATATTTATGTATCCAGTTGAATGAATTGGTGTCAAAACTGTGGACTGGATATTGTACTAAGTTGCGCAATAGGACGGAACTCAGTCAACAGGAAACGAGACTGTTGTGTAATCAATGTTTTGACTTGTTTCAAGAAGGCGAAAGTAATTCATAAACGCATGCGCATGATATGGTTGGATCGTACAAAGCATTTCTCTGTTTTCCCAGAACACAGCACGACAACATAAGGGTGAACTTGTATTTGTCTTTGTCTCACAAGAATGAGATCGGTTTGGTGGATGGTGCACAAATTACGTTTCAGTAACAACCACCAAATCGAGCTCCCAACCCAATAGTCGACATGGATTGTTCAATTCATGCATCAGTGTCAGTTTCAAAATGTGGTTATTTTTAAATTTCAGATGTTTTGTATTATATCCAAATGTGTTTATGTCACACTGTCAAAAGTGTTTTACGTTAAACCGTTTTGTGTAATATAAATAAGTAACTGACGTTAACAAAGAAAGTACACACCTGGTATTTTGGAATTATTTGAAAAATGTTGTGGTTTTGACTAGCAACTTCACAGTTGGGGAACGAATCTATGGTGTTTCGGGAAACATATTAAGAAAGTCTGTGACTTATACATCACTGTAAAAACTCTTTTTCAAACATTTACGTCACTCTTTGGAAGGTAATCCAAAAGCACCAGTGTATTTTGTATTTTGACCGTCAGTTTTTATATAAGATTTTTACATTGCCATACAAATCAACGCCGATTAACTACTGGCTTCCCTTGTTACGTGTCAACTATTTTTATCCTACCACTGCTGTTATCTTACTTGTACGCATCCAGTTATCTGCTTCCACGTTTTCATTGGTCAGATAAAGGAAATACAAATGTTAGGTCTGGTTATCGATATAGATCAAAGAGATCGATAATGGTTAACTAAACATTGATCGATGATCGGTATCTCTCTCTGTCGCTCTCTCCTCTCTCTCTCTCTCTCTGTCTCTCTCTCTCTCCTCCTTCCTCCTCTCTCTCTCTCTCACCTCTCTCTCTCACCCTCTCTCTCTCTCTCTCTCTCTCTCTCCTCCTCTCCTCTCTCTCTCTCTCTCTCTCTCTCCTCCTTCCTCCCTCTCTCTCTCTCTCTCCCCTCTCTCTCTCTCTCTCTCTCTCTCTCTCTCTCTCTCTCTCTCTCTCTGTACCCCTCTCTCTCATGTAACAATATATCAAGAATGAGATCCATAATCTCTCTATCAATATTAACTATTGTAGTTATGTGAGACATTCGCGGGTTTCTTAACTTCTGTGAGTAGTATGCTTGTAGATAATGTTCTACTCCTCAGTCTCCAGATTGTCTAACTTCTCTGTGGAGGTCTTCGGGGGTGCTAACTGTAAAGGTGGGCCGGGGCATGGTTTGAGTCAGTGCGCCTACCACGAGAACGTTGCTGATAGTGTCACCAGCATCTCCTGCAACGGCATCGGTCGCTTCATCAGGATAAAGATCCACCAAACCAGCACGTTACATCTATGCGAGGTTGAAGTATACACGGGTAAGTATATAGAGGATATTATATTCGTGCCCATGTCATACTATGTTTACGACACGAGTGCCTAAATGTTGGTATTTAAACCGATATTTAGGCACGAGTGTCGTAAACATAGTATGATATGGGCACGAATATAATATTCTGTTTATTTTACCGAAGTCGTCAAATTTAGGAAAATATACCCAAATCTACTTTCAAACATAGGCTGGCTATCCGCCGTCGCCGCATGTAGGACGCAACGTCACAGAAGTAACGTGACGTCATAACTTTGTTCATGACATCACGTCACCATAACAAAGTGATATTTTGCCCTAGGGCATCGTATGAAAAATATGAACCCCGATATTTTCGCCCACGTAGGTAATAAACTGCCAATAATGATCTGCTGGTGAAACTTTTTATTGCCAGTTTGGTTTCTTATGCATGACCTGTGTCGTGTTGCGTTTTGTGTCACGCATTTGGTATGGCGCCTGTCTACAGAATCTCCGAAACCGGTACCTAGTTGAAGAACATATGGTCTTACCCATCCTTGAAACACCAAAACTTTCAGCCGTGTTGAAAAATATCCAGGCTTCGACTTTGGTGGATCAGATAACTGTATGGATAAAGAGAAAACTGTTAATTTGGTTGGTTGTTTAACGCGGCACTCAGCAATATTCCAGCTATATGGCGGCAGTCTGTAAATAATCGAGTCTGGACCACACAATCCAGTGATCAATGGCATGAGCATCGATCTACGCAATTGGGATACGATATCATGTGTCAACTAAGTCAGCGAGCCTGACCACCCGACCCCGTTAGTCGCCTGTTACGACAAACATGGTTTGCTGAAGATCAATTCTAACCCGGATCTTTACGGGTATGCACCAATGGAAACATAATTAATGACCTGGATTTCCTTTGCAGTTTTACATATGTCTTTAAACAGTGGAAGTACTATGCTATGGTTCTTGATATGGACCTTTTGAATTGGGAATGCTTACAGTTGCATTGGTCTTACATACTCTAACGGATAAATAATGTCTGCTTTCTGCTTTTTCAAAAGTTTATTTTTTGGTAAGAACCACTTGAAAATGCAGCGTGAGGTATGAGGAAGCGTGAAATACAGCTATGCCACGATTATTAGTTTCAGTCCAAATTTCATTTCATCACGTGTTGTAAAAATATGGGCGGTTTATGTTCATATGTAACAAATTGGGTGTCTATAAAATGCTTAAAATGCTTACCTGAGCCTGTTGAAATGTGCGACCATATCTTTGCAAGATACCCCCAAATGTGTGTTCACTGAATCCTTGTTCAACCTGTTCGTTAAGAAACTTCGTCTTTAGCACCAGTTAAGGCACCAAAGCAGAGATATTTATATCCCTGTCACATGAAACGATATAAATTGGTCGAAAGAGTGATCGAAAAGTTCATGTAGCGGAAAGTAGAGTTGCGACCCTTAACCATTTCAGGATTCGTTGACTACGCTTCTTGGCTATGTACACAATACCCGTGTTCATGGCTTTATCCCAGTGTCCGATGAATGAAGGAAATAATATTTAAAGCGGCGTATAATCGAACCAACACTCAGTCAGTCCCCAGCCAGTTAACAATGAAGCCTATGTAATATTAAGTGAGTGAGTTGGGTGTTTCGTCGCTCTCAGCAATGTTCAAGCAATACCACGGCGGGGAACACATTGTACCCATATGGGGAATCGAACCGGGCCTTCGGCGTGACGAGCGAACGCTTCAACCACTAGGATACGCCACCGCCACTTTGTGATTTTAAGAGATGTGACAGTATGGTACCTCCATACTACCTCCGCCACTACTACTACCATAAGACTTACAGGAAGTAAGCACAACGAAACTTCACTTATCCCCTAAAATCCCGACATTAAACCAAAGCATTATGAAAATGATAAAGCAAAAGTATTTGTAAATAATATCAGCACAGAGGCTGTCTAAATATAAGGTCATGTGTGTCTATAAATGGCGCCGTATCACAGTATTTTCCATGTTATTCAGGCGTCTTCATCAATGATCTTGAAACATTCCTACTGAAAGACGGATGCACGGTTGTTAGAATTGGCGATTCGAACAATTTAAATGTGCAATTATGTATCTGTTTCTTAATCCTTCTCTACACGGATGACACGGTCCTACTTGCTGATTCTGCAACTGAACTCCAGAAAACATTAGATTCCTTTAAAGACTATTGCAATATCTGGAAATTGGATGTTAACCTAAAAAACCCTTAAGTTCTTATCTTTGGAAGCCGGCCGTCCAAAAAATGTAGGTTATCTTTTTATTTGGAAAAAAACGATATTGAGATCGTAGATAATTACACATACTTAGGTGTTATATTCAGTAAAAACAGGAACTTCAGGTCAGCAATCAAATGTTTATCAGAGAGTGCATCTACAGCCATGTTCTGTCTTTTAAAGAAATCTAGAAATTATAATGTTCCTCTGGACTGTTTACTGAAGGCTTTTGACGTGATGATATCACCGATATTATTATATGGTTGCGAAATCTGGGCCTACCAAAATATGAATATAATTGAAAACATTCATTTAAAATTCCTGAAACTAGCCTGTGGGCTTAGACATTCAACCCCAAAGTTTATGGTCTATGGGGAATTAGGTAGGGTACCCTTATCGATTTATGCAGCCAAACGGGTGTTAGTTTCTGGCATAAACTCTGTAAACATGGACCTTCCTCGAAATTATCACAAATTATCTATCAATTTGCCTATTTGCGATCTGTAGCTATTAATGAACAAAATGTCTGGACGAGTAATGTAAGGCAAATACTTAACCTCTGTGGCCTATCCTATGTATTTCATGACCCACTAAGTGTTTCAAGCCAATGGCTAACTGCTCGAGTAGAACAGACTCTAAAAGATCAGTTCTATCAAAACTGGAGATCTGACGTAGAGAAGCCCGAAAGGGCTTTGTTATAAATACTTAAAAGATATTCCTTCATTTGATAACTATCTCCTTCTGCCTAAACAAATATACTACCCTCTCTTGAAATACAGAACTTGTAACCATAATCTGCTTGTCGAGGTTGGCCGTTGGCTTGGCATAGAGAGAGAATTTAGGACATGTAAACTGTGTATGTCGCCAGCTATAGCTGATGAATTCCACTACCTGTTTAAATGTGAAGCTTTTTATGAATGCAGATTCAAATTTATCCCAAATAAATACATACAGTTCCCTAATATAATAAAGTACAAAAAATGGTTGAGTAGTAGAAATGTAAAAGAAATCAAGAACCTTGCACAATTCATCTGTATAATAGATAAGTGCCTTCGAGTGTGATTGTATACATGAGTACAGAATTTCTGATGCGGATTTTATATTTATCTGTCTAGATTTATATATTCATAATTGTTTTCAGTCACAATATCTTAATGTCGTCAATTATCTGTACAATATAACCGCCATCATGTAAAGTAGAAATTATTGTTATTTTGGGAAAACTTTTCTCCTGTACCACCGTGGGTGGTTCTTTTGGAGAATAAAATGAATTGAATTAAAGTAATACCTATTTAAGTATTCTCATAACATAATAATCAGTGGCTTAAGCATTCTCTCCTAAAGCAGAACACCCAGGTTCGATTCCCCACGTGGGTACGGTGTGTGAAGCCCATTTCTAGTGATAGTGCTGGATTATTTCTAAAAGCGGTTTAAACCCGTACTAGCTCAATAACAAGTGATTAATTTTGATATAATGTGATAATGTACAAATATTTGATGTAATATTGTATGCCTGACAGCGTTTATTTACCAACATGTGCCTCTCCCATCATGTCCGTTGTGTATATGTGTACGGCTTACAGTTTCAGTTCTATCGTGGGCTCACCTCGTTGTCTATGTTGACGAAGACGTTTGCTCTGATTATGATGGTGTGCTCAGGCCCAGTTTGACACTGACCTGTGGTAGCGTCCTGACTGGCAGCGATATAACAATACAATCAAAAGGAACGACTCTTCTAGTGTTGTGCGAGGTAGAAGTTTATGGAGGTAGGTAAAAACAACGACAACGCCCCGATTCATGTATCCGTGCGGAGGTGTGGTAGCCTAGTGGTTAAAGCGTTTGCTCGTCACGTAGAAAACCCAGGTTCGATTCCCCACATGGGTATAATGTGTAGAGCTAATTTCTGGTGTCCCCCCGCCGTGAAGTTCTTGAAATTGCTAAAAGCGGCGTAAAACCACACTCACTCACTCATGTATCCGTTATAGATCATTGATGTGCATTGGATACACAAATAGTTCTTCTGCAGTAAACTAGGGATATAACGATCTGTCTTTTTTTGTCAAGGCGGCCAGACCACTGGCAGTATATGGATAAAAATACAGTTTACTACGGTTGTAACGAATTCAAAAGGACCACTTATGGTAGTTCGTAATAACCGTGGTTCGTTATACGCATATACCGTATAACGAACCACGCTTATTATTAACTAATATGCGTATAGAAACACTACTACAATTTGGGATGAAACACGTTCTCTCTGTTACAAAATATACACAATCATACAGTACATGTTTTTCATTCAGCATTACATTACAGTGTTTACAAGTGTAGGAATTATTACTGAAGACATTTTTCTTACTCAGGTATCCACTTCTAAATAAAGTTAATACACGTCTATGCTCATGGGAACTAATGTTTAACAAACATTTTCACAGTTAAGCAAAGATGTAAAATGTGAGAGTATCACTCTGAAGAGAATAGTGCCAGTTCTGATAAGCACATTCTTTAACACGTTGACTAAAGATATAAACAAGATGATCTGGATCCCAAACTCTTGGCTTATCCAAACAAAACCATAGCCATAACGAAAAAGTAAATATTTTACTTGATTGGCCTAACCCAAGGCCTTTTTCTCTCAAAATGGACAACAACATATTATAACATTGGAAAGCATATCTTTAGCGTTGCATTCTCAACAATCGTAGCCAATACTTAATACATTTAATATGATAGGAAACATAAAGTAGATATCTTCCACACACCCCTTATGATACAGCATTCGACGATTTATAACTAATATGGAGAACAATTTTTCAAAACTTCCTATGAATGATTTCAATATTACTCCTTTCTTCCCAACCCCAAATTTCAGCCCCATATCTAAGAATTGGAGTAATCTTTTTATCAAATAAAAAGAAAGCATCTTTTACTGTAAATTCAAAACGTCTGATCAATGATTTTATAGGCCATAATGCTTTACTTGCTTACTCCGCTAATGTTTTACAGGCTTTAGTCCATATCAATTTAGGCGTTATCGTTAACCCCAAATATTTATATGCGTTTACTGTTTCCATAGGATTCCCATTAAAGAAGAATGTTTTATATTTTGACAGAGGCCCACCCATTTTAAAGACAATTATTTTACTTTTAGCTAAATTGATGTCCATACCCCATCTATAAGAATAATTATGTAGAGCATCCAATCGTCTTTGCAACTTAACAACACTATCTGCAATAAGTATCAAATCATCAGAAAACAACAAAGCAATAATGTTCAACATTTCATGGGATATAAAGATACCATCATCAAATTGGCTCTGCAAATCACACACAAGTTCATTTATGAATAGCGAAAACAACTAGGCTGGTGTACATTAGTGTACATCACAGGAATTGTAAAATAGTTTGTTAGTTCTTTACCATAATTAAAAGAACTGTAGAATTAAAAATAGATTGTTAGACATTGGAAAATTTATCATAATAAAAAAGTAACTCAGTAGATTTTTAACATTAGCCTTTCTATACATGACTGAAATTTATGACATTGAGAAAATTTACCATGTATGATACCATTTTGTTCTGGCCCAGACTGAAATAGTATAACTGAGATACCATGCCTCAGTTTATTTCTATTCACCATGTCGAACGCCTTGTTTCTAAAGACCTATAAAGGCACAATATAGACGCGAACGCCCTCTTTCGAGACAATATATTTAGTCACAACCGCTTGGAGGATAAAGATATTGTCAATCGTTGAATGGTCTATGCGAAATCCTCCTTGGTAACCCCAATAGGTTTGTTTAACTCGAGATATAGTTCTAGTCTTCCATTCATAACATAAGCAAATATTTTATTCATGATATTTAGCAACGATATGCCCCGGTAGTTATCAGGGGTTGCTCATACTTCCTTTCTCCTGATGTCCACGCATCAGGGTATATACACCAGAATTTAATATACTATTGGGTGAGAGTAGAACAAGATAGAACAAGATAGGGTACTAATACGTCCCCAGCTGTTTTATAGAATTCAGAAGGGATGCCATCTTCGCCCGGAGATTTCCCAGTTTTCAGGTGTCTAATGGCTTTGAACACATCTTGGTTGTTGAATTCCATTGATGAAATGTCATTTTGATTTTAGCAAGCTGCGCATATATCAGATGTATGATTGCTGATGAACCTTATTGTGTCTTCGGTGAATTGGGCATCTTCTATAGTAGTTGGGTTTAAGAGTTCTCTGAAATACTCTACCCATGATGATGGAGTGACCCCATTCTTTGTACTGCGTGATGATATGTACTTCTTCACTAACTTCCAGAACGTCGTACAGTCCTTGTCGTTTGCAGCTGTCCGAATACTAGTGTTAATAAAAAGTTTGTAATCATTCTGTTTTTCTTACATAGAGGTTTAAAGTAGTTCCTGCTTCTTTTGTACAATATAGGACAAAGAAGTTGCTTCTTTGTAGTTTGGTATTTTTCTATCGTTGAGAGTTTCCTAAAGTTATTAAGATTCTGGTATTTTATTCTTTTCGCGGATTCACAATTGCCATCGAACCAGTCTGGTTGACTCTCCATGTTTGTTGTTTCGTCGGTGCATTTTCAAGCTCTTTCCACATTCGCCGTAGTATTTGTTGTAACTTGTCAGTTGCTTAAAGCTTTATTAACATCCACGCTTGAGACACAGTCCATGAAATCTGTTCTGGTAGAGGAGGGTAGAGATAATTTACTTACAAACTCCTCTCTTTTAGCTTCATTCCATTTATATCTTGTTCTGTCGTGACAGAGGACACTATCACTGTTAGGGACAAGGTTCAAGGATCGATAAAGTAAGACTCACTTAGTGGGAAGTGGTCAGATTCAGTGCGGGAAACAATGTTTAAATTTTGAACATGTTGATATAGCGATGCAGAAACACATATATAGTCAGGGGTATTACAGCCTGCGGGTCCTATGTATGTGTAGCGTCATCTGAGAATCGTCCATTCAAAGTAAACAAAGTAAAAGTCACATGTCCAGGAAATCACGTCTATAGATGCATCAGGTGTACACAAAAACGGGAAGCATCATCTGTTGGAAGATAATCTGTATTGTCAAAACAATTGTTGGATATCTAGTTGTATAAAGCGATCTTAGCGCTAAGGAGATCGTAAACCCCATACCTTATAATTGACTTATTGTCTTTGAGTTATGACTGGTACAACGTACACCACCTGAAAGTAGTGAAAAATCATATTTCATTTCTGCAATGAAAAGATGAATTTCATTTCTGAATAAATATTCCTATGCCCCTTATGCAAATGTGTCAATATGCCAATGTGATACCATGTATTAAAAATACGACATAGCAATGGGAAAACACTACACAGCCAGGCAGTGATGTGTCGAAGTTGATGTGAGAGCATCTACTGCACCAACTGGAAGGAATGCAGGTATTTTAGATCCGTTTATTTTTGTTGTAGAATCGATAGTTAACCTTCTATCAGTTGAACAACTGTAAAGTCTTACCCTTTATCTTTGTAGTTACGACTGACCCATGTGAGGTGGAGACGCCCGCAGCTGTTTGGCCAGTTCAGCCAAAAGGACTCGTAATTATAGATGCACCCACATCCACAGTCTGGGAGGATTTCTCAACACAGATCGCCCTCGTCATTCCATCCATGACGAGCAGATCAGAGGAGGCTGACAGTACGGACAGTTCGCAAGTGATGACCAGCACGGACGAAACAGTGTACGCTACTGATAACCACTTGAGCAGCGTCCTCCTCACTTCCGCTTCCGGTTTTCCAATACAAAGCAGCCATGTGTCAGTCTACGAAGGTACCGTTACCACTTCACTGGCCACAACAAGCAGCACGAACCCGCCAAGCAGCTCCGTCAAGCCTTACACCGGTGTTACCACCATCAGCAGTATATCTGGAGCGCGTACGGTATCCGAACAATGTCTCTGTCGGTGTAAAACGCCACATCCCTGAAACCCTGGAAGAACTTCAGGACTCGATGGACGAATTACAGGCGAATCTGACAATTGATGTTGCAAACACATCAAGTTATAGAAGAAAGCGTACCTCAGCCAAAGACCCAAGATCGTCAGCTTTGTACCTCGGAACACTTGGTATTGTCATGTATATCATTGTGTTTGCGTTCCTGTTTCTTTCCGATATTATCAGTTTTTGGAAAAGGGGCTCCCCACAAAACCACGCTAAATCAACGACGGTGGACCCACGTATATAGGGTTCACAGCTGTCAAGGTGAGGTGAGGTCAAATGGGGTTTAACGTCGTGCTTGAGAATATTTCGCTCATATGACGACGTGCATGCGTGTGTATGTGTATGTGCGGCTACTTGTACTAGCCCAGACTTAGATGGTTTTATAGTGCTAGCCCACTGAGATACCATGCCGCAGTGAAGCATGAATACCCCACTCAGACACATTATACTGACTCCGAGCCGACCAGTCCTTGTTGTACCCATTAATGCCCAGCGCCAGGCAGGGACCAACAAGTACCATATTTTAACGTCTTTTGGTATGACGCGGTCGGGGATCGAACCCGCGACCTTCCGCTCTCCGGGCGGATGCTCACACCTTTCAAGGCTTTATGGACTTTTTAATGGCATGAAATTGTCGCTCTATGAAAATGTGCCGCGATGATAAGAAGACACGGAAACATTCACTGTCTGCGCCTCGCCTGTGATACCTTACCTCAGCCAGCAAAACGTTTTATATTCTGAACTTATCAGTGTTGATGCAACGTTCTGCAAAAAATCGTTTTGTAATTGTCATTTAAAAAAATTATATTTGAATTAAACATGCAATAATCTGGTCTGGTATTAGTAAAAGTGTATTCGCATTGAACGTGCTCTTGGTCAACAACATGCTATAGGTGTAGAACAGGAATTTTTTGTTCTTTTCGCTTTAAACATGCTTGTGTTGTTTAAAAAATGTCTTAGTGCAAATTTTTGTTTTGGCACTTTCATGAATACATAATACAGTCGTGTTAATGTGTCGCATCCAAGTTTCTTGGTGAATTAATGTAATAACTTGCAATAAACCTTCATTACGAGTTGTTGGTTCTATTGCAATTTTCGTCCAAAGTGCTCGAAGCGTACGTCAAATGTTGGCATAAGTCGAGTCGCAAGGCCGCGCACCTACACATTTTGGAATGTTTCCAAAAGTTGAGTGCAGGCAAATACAAATACTATTTTTAAACGAGAGATTCTGGTGTTGGTCTAAACGAAGAATGTGGATGTACAGTAAGATGTATTTCATATTATGACCGTTTCACAATATTTCATATCCTGTTAATACACATAGGTATCCGAATTCCTGTGTTAGGATTGTGCAGACCTATTTCCTGTCATACCAGTAAACACACATATTTCATGTCCTGTTATTACACACATCTATGTCATGTACAATGTTTGCACAAAGCTATTTTCTGTCTAGGAATACACGCATTTATGTTCATCAGTAAAGTTTAACACACTTATTTCTTATTGTGTAATTATGCTCACCGCTTTCCTATCCTGTAATTACACACACCTATTCCTGTCCTATGAATACATACATATTTTTTCTGTCATTTCAAAACACTCACAAACACACACCACGCACACACACATTTTCATTCTGCGATTGCACACACACTATTTCCTGTCTTTCAACACACGATTACACAAACACACATACACGCACACAATTTTTCTTATTTGAAAACACACTTATTTCTCTCTTTTCAACATGCACACCCACACACACACTATTTCTTATTCTGTGATTGCACACACCTATTTCCTGTCTTTTTCAAAACACACACACACACACACACACACACACTATTTTTTACTGTGATTGACTAGACACACATACACACAATTTCTTATTCTGATTGCACATACCTATTTCCTGTCAAACCTATTCTCCTCTCTCTTTCAAAACATTCTGTGATTGCACACACCTATTGCCTGTTTTTTCAAAGAAAACACACACACACACACACTACTTTTTATTCTGTGATTGCACAAAGCTATTTCCTCTCTTTTCACACACACACACACACACAATTTCTTATTCTGTGATTGCACACACCTATTTCCTGTCTTTTCACACACACACATACATCTCACACACTCTCACACACAATTTTTCTTATTCTGTAATTGCACACACCTATTTCTGTCTTTCCAACACATACATACACACGCACACAATTGTTCTTATTCTGTAACACACAGACACACTATTTCTTATTCTGTAATTACACACACTTACTTCCTGTCTCCCCGCTCCCACCCACCCTAATCCTTTGATTACACGTATTCATTTCTGATATGCTGACACAAGCCTATTGCTTGTCCGAATAATAAACGCCATACATATTGCTTCCTACAGTCAAACACCTTCAGCATTGCTTCATACAGTCAAACACCACCAACATTGCTTCATACAGTCAAACACTACCGGTATTGCTTCATACAGTCGAACAACACCAGCATTGCTTCCTACAGTCAAATACCACCAGTATTGCTTCATACAGTCGAACAACACCAGCATTGCTTCATACAGTCAAACACCACCGGTATTGCTTCATACAGTCAAACAACACCAGCATTGCTTCATACAGTCGAACAACACCAGCATTGCTTCATACAGTCAAACAACACCAGCATTGCTTCATACAGTCGAACAACACCAGCATTGCTTCATACAGTCGAACAACACCAGCATTGCTTCATACAGTCAAACACCACCAGCATTGCTTCATACAGTCAAACAACACCGGTATTGCTTCATACAGTCGAACAACACCAGCATTGCTTCATACAGTCAAACACTACCGGTATTGCTTCATACAGTCGAACAACACCAGCATTGCTTCATACAGTCCAATACTACCGGTATTGCTTCATACAGTCAAACACTACTGGTATTGCTTCATACAGTCAAACACCACCAGTATTGCTTCATACAGTCAAACACTACCAGTATTGCTTCATACAGTCAAATACTACCAGTATTGCTTCATACAGTCAAATACTACCGGTATTGCTTCATACAGTCAAATACTACCGGTATTGATACAGTCCAACACTACCAGTATTGCTTCATACAGTGAAACAACACCAGCATTGCTTCATACAGTCAAATACTACCAGCATTGCTTCATACAGTCAAATACTACCGGTATTGCTTCATATTGCTTCATACAGTCAGACATTACCAGTATTGCTTCATACAGTCAGAAATTACCGGTATTGCTTCATACAGTCAAACACTACCAGTATTGCTTCATACAGTCAAACACTACCGGTAGTATAGTTGTCTTCATATTGTCATAAGTCGAACACCACCAGCATTGCTTCTAACAGTCAAACACTACCGGTATTGCTTCATACAGTCAAACACCACCAGCATTGCTTCATGCAGTCAAACACAACCAGCATTGCTTCATACAGTCAAACACTACCAGTATTGCTTCATACAGTCAAACAACACCAACATTGCTTCATACAGTCAAACACTACCGGTATTGGTTCATACAGTCAAACACTACCGGTATTGCTTCATACAGTCAGACATTACCAGTATTGCTTCATACAGTCGAACAACACCAGCATTGCTTCTAACAGTCCAATACTACCGGTATTGCTTCATACAGTCAAATACTACCAGTATTGCTTCATACAGTCAAACAACACCAGCATTGCTTCATACAGTCCAATACTACCGGTATTGCTTCATACAGTCAAACACTACTGGTATTGCTTCATACAGTCAAACACCACCAGCATTGCTTCATACAGTCAAACACTACCGGTATTGCTTCATACAGTCAAACAACACCAGCATTGCTTCATACAGTCAAACACTACCAGTATTGCTTCATACAGTCAAACACTACCGGTATTGCTTCATACAGTCAAACACCACCAGCATTGCTTCTAACAGTCAAACACTACCAGTATTGCTTCATACAGTCAAACACTACCAGTATTGCTTCACACAGCCAAACACCACCAGTATTGGTTCATACAGTCATGTGTATGTGTGTGAAAGGAACAGATGTTGGACACTACGTTTATATTACCATTAAACTAGACAGGGGAGTGTTGATGGTATAGAGTGCATCCTTTTCATTCAATGCATACAAGTATTCGATCACTCTTTCTATTGATGATTATAGGACATGAATTGGCAATGATGTTTACAATGTGCCATCCTTGTCATGGAGAACCTGTTTCACAGCTTAGACTACTCAGTAAAACACGCTTGTGAATGATTTATCAATACACCTTATAAACATTTCCTTGTGTTGTTGAAACAATAGTTTATTTTGCTCAAGATAAATGGGTCATCAGGTGCAATGCCTATTTGAAGAGTGAGTGAGTTACAACTTAACGGCATATTTGAAGATTTCTTTGGTACAAAAATATATATATAATGTCATAACACATAACACATATAGGTACCTGAATTATGTTGGGCGATCTAGTTACGTGCGTGTTTATGGCAGAAATGTCAAAATGAATTACACTCGATAAATATTAGGGCGTTTTTATAGAATAGCTTGGTTTAGGAAATACATCCAATTTGTTGTCTTCCCGGCGATAACCTAAAGGTAGTTCCTCTTTACAGATCCGTATACAATTGTTAAAGCATCCAATCACAAACTAGTTGAAAACAAGTCTGGTAGAATTGACAAGATGCAATCCAATGAATCAAATATTAATAATTCATTATTCAATACACAATTGTCACTGACCATCATTTTACAAAGGTTTCCAAGGTTGATATGATATACTAGGCACATAAAGAAAGCTGTGCATACAAAAATTTAAAATCTAAATTTATCAAACCTGTGTAGACACATAAGGATTTAAACTCAGAGATTAGTGACATGTATCCAACATGCATGCGTGCCACGTTCCGTGACGTCAGTGGGTTCGTCCTTGAGACGTGCAATACGTTGTTGCAC